ACTTTCTCTCTCACAGGTGGGGCTCACAGATTGACTATAACGGTTATAATTTTGATTAAAATCCCACAAAAATTGCTCCCAAACACGCTCTAACTATATTAATGAGGTAAAAAAAATTGTCTAGGTTTCTAATTACCTTAAAGATCGGGGAGAGTCGGAGACGGGGAGAGGAGGAGATGGGCGGGGTAGAGGAGAGGCGGAGACCGAGAGAAATGGGAAATTAAAGGGTTGATAGAAATTCGATATATATATAAATTAGTGGGTCGGGTCGGTTTGGGTGAGTTAACCTACAACCTGACTCGTTTAGAATTGTAAAAAATCGAACCCACCAAAAAACTGATAAAAAATCAACCCACCCGATCGGTTCAGTCGGGTTCGTTGGGTTCAATCAGTTTTTGTCCACCGCTAATCTTCAGTCTCTACAAAAGAAAAAGAAACTTCGCATTCAAAAAAGTGGAGTTACAACACCTACATTTAGTTATTCAACTTCAAAAATCAAGTTATAGCCATTTTTTTTCAAAATCAGGTTATAATTTATTATGTTTAATTTAGAAAATATATAATTATATATCAATCCCTCAACTAACAACCATACACACCCCAACCCTAAAAATCTCACCTAATTCACCATACCCACCTAACCACCACGCTACCTCAATCTCCCACACACACACACAACCCATCAATAAGGTGCACAATATGACAGAGTCAATGGGCTGATTGCTCAGCGCCTTTGCGAAAAGCAGCAACCATTGTAAAAATCAGGTTTTCTCGTTTCTCTCTCTCATTTTTTTTTTTTATTTTACAGTGGTCTGAGGTTGATTTGTGGTATATTGAAAGTGCAGATAGCGGTGGCAGGTTTGGGAATTTTGTAGATAAGGGTTGTGTGGTAGAGGTGGTGGGTGGTTGTTGTAGTTGGCGATTATAGGGTGGGATGCAACAACGATGTATGTGTGTGAGTGGTGGTGGTGCTGACAGTGATTGTGAAATTGTAGCGATGGTGATGGCAAGGTGCTATCGGTGGTGGTTGTGCTGGCAATTATGGTAGCAATGTGGTGGTGTTGGTGTTGGTGTTGGTGTTGGTGTTGGTGTTGGTGCAGGGTGGTGGTAGTCACAAATGGAAGGGGGTAGTGATGATGATGATGATGATGATGGTGAGGTGGTCACAAATGACATTTGGTTGGTGCCGGTGGTGGAATGGGGTGAGATTGGAAAGGGTAGGATGTGATTAGGGGTGGGCGTGGGTTGGGTTGATTTTTAATC